GGTTTTGAGCTCTGGTTTTTCTTCCAGTGGTGCAAGCTTTATTTTGTTTCCACCCATCCACTTTATACCTCTTGGAATAGAAATAGGTTTATCAAGGATACATCAGTATAACAACTGAAGATGCATTGTTAAAATTTCATTCCTAAACTGCAAAACACATAAAATAATTCATTACTTTGGTTCTGTCAGAACAAGACATGAGTGTGAATTAAAACATGACACATCTTAGGCTCTTGTGTTAGTGTTAATGATACACCATAATTTGGTTTTTCCTATTTTCTTAAAAACACTAGCAAAGAAATAAAAATCAACCAGACAAATCTAGATTAGCATTGTCTTCATGATTTGCAATGGCAGATCTGAGAGGCCTGGACTTCCTCAAAGGTTTTGGTCAAGGTGTGGGAAGTGTTGGCTGCAAAGGGCTACCTGCCTTCCATCTCTCCAAAGTGGCCAGAGAGCCCCCAATACCATTCCAGATGAGCAGGAGGCCTGTGCTCTCACACTGCTGACAGAGGGGTGTCTCTGCAGACAGACTCTGTCTGTGTGTCCATCACTTCCACTGGAGCTGGGAGGAGCATGATACCATAAATCAGGGGAGCCACAAGGTCTCTACTCACAGAACCTCTGTATGTCAGCGCCTCGCACCTCAGTGTTCTAATAAATATAAAGAAATAGTGCTTTCTGTGGGTCAAGAAGGTTGTCCAGAAATTATTATACTCCACTTTGTCTGAGTTTATTTTTTTAAAATATCCTACTGCACATAAGCTGTGTACATCAAAGGCTTTTGGAGTGCTTTGCAAAGACTAATGCATTATTAAGCTAGCAAACCCCTACAGACGGCAGGATGCAAACAGAGAGAGGATAATGATTTGCTCAGGACTACATACTGTGCCAGTGGCAGAATTTGGAATACAGTTTCCTTTCCTTTAGCTGTGTCTCAGCTGATATCCATAGAACTGGGCAAAAGTATCACTTCAAAATCAAATGCATGACTTGAAATGGGACACTGTGTTCTGCTGTTGGTCTGAGCAAACCCATGAAATGAAGAATATTTTAATGCTGTGGAACTACAATACCATTCCTCTGTCTGCATACAAAAAGTTTCCCAAGACCTCTGTTTCTGGACAGGTAAATGTTGAAAATAGCCAGATTTTGGACATGTTAGAGCAAATCCTCTTCACCATTCAAACTACAGTATTCAAACAAAGACAGCAGAAAATCTCAGGCAGATGATTAGGTACTGTAACATGGAAAAGGAGATCTAAAGGATTTTAAGGAACCAAGATAAAGGCAATGCTAAACATACCTTCAGCCTACCATAAGAAGACATGGGAATTTTAAAGCCTGAATTTCCATTGTTCACTTTAAAAACAAAACCCACTGTTTGTAGTTGAGAAGCCAAGTCCTTAGCTCCTTCATCTCATCTCCTTCTTTATGTCTGTTGTCTACTAGCAGCTGTCCTGGCTTTCCACAGGGATACTAGGGAAATTATGAACAGCCCTGCTGTAGTGTCACGTCCTTTAGAGGGATCACAGCTCCAAAGAACATTAATTAAGTCAACATTCTTGTATCCAGTTTTGTTTGAAGTTAATATAGCCCTCATATTTTCTGTATTCACCTGCTTCAGCAAATAATTTTTTTTAAACTCCAGAGTATGCTGGAGAATGAGCTGTTTCACTATTACAGCCTCAAGTTTTTGAGACTTATACTGACTATTTCAATCCTTAGGGGCTTTCTTGCCCATCTTATTCACATTCTTAAAATATTCCTGCTAATATCCTTAAATATTTTTAAAGTCTAAATATATATGCAGTGCCTCCCCCAATCAGATTGTCTAATTATCTAATTGCTGTATAGTGTGGTATGTACATGCACTCAAATTGGAATCTATGTTGACTGGCTAGTATAATCAATTTTGCCATTGCATTTCAATTTAGAATAAACCACATTTATTTCCCTTACACTAGATTGAGGAAATAAATTATAGTTGAAGCAATAAGATTTTTCCAGGCTTCTGTAACATTCAGTCTAAATTAATTTGGTATTCCAGATTCTTCTGCCAGTTGTAGCAGTTATGCTGGCCCAATACATCAGAGAAAGTTTACAGGTTTTATTGCTGTTTCTAAGGGGCTGTTGGGAGGCAGAGGGAGTCTTTAAGCCCAGATGTCCTACTAGGTGCTGGCAAAATTTAACCAGGGTTTCTCCCAGAAGGACTCAGGACCAGTCCAATCATGGGTGCCACTACCAGTGTCAATGCACACCTGATGTTCAGAGCACACACAAGCTTCAAAGGAGAGCCTGAGAGCACTGGCATGTTTCAAGCAGCAGGGCTGGTGGGTATAGCCAAATTCTCTGATAATTTAAGGAAGCTTAAATGCAGTGAAGCCACTGCAGCAAAGAGCACACACATCTTTGGCTGTGGTACATGATGTATCCAATCACATTGTACCTGCCATCTGTTTAACTCTTAATTACACCTGCCCACAGCTGGCCCAGTGCAAGTGGAACAGGGTATAAATCAAAAGGCACACAAACAAATGCAGGAGCAGGAAAGGAGTTCACACCTGAGATTGGCTTTAAGAAAATTATTAATATTTGCTATGAATAAAAGGTCCATCTGTAATTTGAAACGGATTAACTAAAGAGCTATTTTAGGGTTAATGGACTAAGAGTAATTTCTGGTGACAGTGAAAGGCTTTCTCCATTCCAGCTTTTAGTGCAGGCAGTATTCTAGTTATCCTAATCCAGATATGAGATTTTTAGAAAATGCAGAGTATAGGGATGGCAGCTCTTTGGCAGTAGGAACAAATTACAGCTTTTAAGTAGATTTTTTAAAAATACAACTTATTCACTAATACCCCACATATGAATTAGAGCTGAATTTCAGAGCAAATGATGGGTCCACTGTGTGTTTTCATGCAGATTTTGTACTCCAGGGAACAGAGTAATTGGTAGTTGAAAAGTTTCTTTTAGGATTTTAATCTCCACCCCAGAAAACAGAGTGCAACCCTGAGCAGGATCTAGCTATATTCAGCAGTAGAAGTGAAACATAAAATACATGTCTAAAAAATCTAACTGCATGCTAAAAGAGTTTTAACTTCCTGTGTTGGTGTTTTGAAGTTATTTCTGCTTTCTATGATGAATGTCCACACATTTGGAAGAGACGTGGTTACTGTTTCTTTCTTCTGAATCAGGGCAAGAGCCTGACACTGGCAGGGAAAAGGCCTGTCAAATGCTGTAGCTTTGAAGTGGTGCCATTTACTCTGGTTGTGAAACTGGGAAGCCCTGTCAACAATTAACATGCTCTAGCTAATTGACAAGCCTGTTTACAAAGCTAGAGTGGATACTCAAAATGGCACAAGAGTATGACAAGGAACGATCACCTCCTTGCTACTGCAGAATTTCTGCCTGTGCTTATTGTTCCTCCAGTTCATGAGAATAACAGCTCTCTTCCCACAGCTGCTGACTTCCAAATGGAAAAATGAGCCAAGCAGAAACTGCTCTGAGGATGTTCTCACAGTTTTTCTGAAATTCAAGTGACCATGCTTAAAACCTAACAAATCAATGAAGGGCATTTCTGAGGGTGTGACTATAGGTTAATAATCTGGTAATGTGGCTGTTCCCAAGGAAACAAAAATTTAATTTTCTGTCTCATTTCAAACATGGACTTGAATTACATTTCTGCCTCTATGTTTAATGAATGAATCATTGCAATATTTGTGAGATTTAATTAAGATGGGGAGTTTACATGGGAAAAAGGGAAACTGCTGCAGCAGCCCTAATAAACTGGTGTTTACTGTGGAAGGTATAAATCCAGCATTTGTTAGTGTCACTGCAATGCCTGGCCTCAGTCTTAGTTATCTATGTTGCAAAAACCACCAAAACTCTATAGTAGGAATGGTAAGGCATTGGTTCACTGCCAAAGACCAAAGGAAGCCTTGCAGAGAGAAGCTCTGCAGAAGGGCATGCTCCCTGTGGCTGTTAGCTAAAACATGGGGCAAAAATCCACTTTCTCCCTTGCTAGAGAGAACTCTGATTTACAGGAGGGGCAATGCTCCTAGGTACTTGTCTTGCCACAGTATGGTATACCCTGGCAGTAGGACTGCTGACTTTAAATGCTGGGGCTCTAAATGTCCTAAATAACTTTTTCACACTAACTCCTCTCCCACACTCCCAACAAACAAATAAACAAAGGCATTAATATTCCATAGTGTTCTTGATTCTGAATTTCTGTTCCATCTAATCCTTTGCTGTGCTTGCTAGAGAAAGCACACTCAGACAAAAGAAGTCCCTTCTGATCCTTCCTACTGCCCTCAACACTAGGAACAGGACTGTAAGGTTTCTAAGAAACAAAATTCTACGGAGGGCTTTAAATATCACCTCTGTGTATGATCCAAAAGAGAAGATTTAAGTGCATCCAACAGCCTTAATCTAGTATAGCTTTGTATAACCTGGATGACTCTACAGCAGTCACACCTGCTCATTTCTCTACAAATAGCAGTCTTTGATCTGCAAGTATGTTTGAACCATAAGCCTTTTGGATTTTTCCTGAAGTGAAAACTTTTTGAATGGTAATCATCTGTATATTCTCATAGAGAAGCACATTTCTATCAGTACTAACACATTTTTCAAAATATTTACATTCACATATAGTTATCTTCATACGTAAATTTTGCTCTAACAGCGACACTAACTAACTTGGAATAGTTTTAAACATTCAGAAAGTTTGCCTCAACAACCTTCATGAAATACAAATACAGTTTCTGAATATAACTGTTAAAATACAGGCAACAATTTAATATTGCAGATAACAGAATTTTTCTTCCTTAGGAAGACTATGATCGTCTGAGACCTTTATCTTACCCTATGACCGATGTCTTCCTTATCTGCTTCTCAGTGGTAAACCCTGCTTCATTTCAAAATGTGAAGGAAGAGTGGGTACCGGAGTTGAAGGAATATGCACCTAATGTTCCCTTTTTACTAGTAGGAACACAGGTATATTTGGTTCTGTTCTACTTTTATTTAAGCAAATAGGATCATTGTATGATGCCTTTTCTCTGGGCTGGAAGTTGAGGCCCAACAGGACCTGAGCAGCACCTCCTTCTGCCTTTGGAGGAACAACCCTTACAGGTGGCAGAAAAACACAGATACGTGCTGTTCTCCAATGAGCTATCCCCATTTGTTAAAAAAACTTATGTCCATTGTAAACATGGTGGCAAGATGGGCTGCATGTCTCCCATGTGACTTTCTAAAAAGTCACGGGACTTATTGAATAAAATTGTCTGCTCATGCCCATGTTACTGGAATTTCTCGGGTTTACAACTATTAGTCACATGCAATATTTGCTGAAGCAAAGGAAAAGGGGAGAAACGAGACAATTTCCTCTTGCTTCTCATGGGTAGTGGACTGGGTTTCATTTATGAAGTGACCCACATGTTGGTGTTACCTGTGGGTTAATCTTTCTGCCACTGCATTTGGTGTTCTAAGATGATCACATCTAATTGAAGTGCTGAATTACAGAATAAATGTTTCTTCCTTCTAGATTGAAGGTTCACAACTTAAATTAAGGGCTCTTGAATCAGGAAGGGTCCACAATCTGAATCATGCCATGACTCCATTTTTATAGTGATAATATTCCATTGAATGATTCTCCTTTAAAAAGAGGGTATCATTGCCTGCTGACTTTTGTTTAGAGAAAGTATTCCAGCATGACTTCAATCTTTCTTGCTAGATTGATCTCCGTGATGACCCAAAAACTCTGGCAAGACTGAATGATATGAAAGAGAAGCCCGTATCTGTGGAGCAAGGACAGAAGTTAGCAAAAGAGGTAAACTGGATACTCCTAAATGAAACCAAGTAACAAAGAACAAAACAACAAAACACCCCTATTTCTACTTGACTTAGTCTTCCTTTACCACTTTTTGCATATCTTTTAGCAGTCCACATATGAAATCTTGTGACTGCTTACCAGTTAACAACACTTACTTACATTAATGAGTAGACCTATGTAATTATACTTTCTTGTCATTAACAGTTCTAATTTTCAGTGTAGACACTTGTAAAAGCTATACAAGCTATGTAAATATTACTCAAAGATAATTAAAATCCATAGACTGGTGGAGGTTGGAAGGGACCTCTCCTGCTCAAGCAAAATGTTGGAAGCATCTTTTAGACACTATTTGAGAATGTTATACTACCACTGTAACTACTGTGTGGATAATGCTTATCAGGACACTTACAGAGCATTTATTTTTGAAACACAAATGAGTAATGTAATATTTTTTTTTCTCTTTAATTATCAACCATATCTTAGGCATCCACTGCCAATCTATAGAACTTACTTCTTTCCCACAGAAACCAATCAACTTAAATACCTTCCAGATCTTTGGACAAAAGATAAATATTATTTTCTCCTACAGGGGGGTGCACATTCAGATAACTTTTTTTAGATTGCAGCCAAACATTGTAATGTTGCTATAGGGGGAGAAAAAAAAAGCTGAAGTGCTCAGATGGAATTGAACAGCTGAGACATACTGCTATTGAATTAACTTATTTTCTTGACAGATAGGAGCCTACTGTTACGTGGAGTGTTCAGCTTTAACACAGAAAGGACTGAAGACTGTTTTTGATGAAGCTATTATAGCCATTCTAACTCCAAAGAAACACACAGTGAAGAAGAGAATAGGCTCAAGATGCATAAACTGCTGTTTGATCACGTGAGAGACATTTGACAATGGCCAGGCTTACTGTGAAATTCTACTGATTTTAAATACAATGCATTAAGTACATAGTGAATTTGTTCCAGGTTTGAAAGTTAAACCTACATTTCTGCCTTCTACAACCAGTGAAATCCAGAGGAATAAAATCAAACTCAACGAACTTGTAATAAGAAGCCACCACATCTGTTACAAATATTTTATTCAGACTGGAAGGTACAATCTCTCAGGGTTACACAGTCTAGAGGAAGCAAAAACTGCACCATGCTGAAATGGCATCTATGTGATTTTACTGAGTGGAGATGCTTGGCCTGAAATACTCTAACTGAATTTGGACAGTTTTCTGCTTTGACTATATATATATATATCTTAAAAATCCCCAACTTTTGCACAGCCTGTATGGAATCTGCACAAAGAAATACCTTGTCTCTTTTTGCTCCAGTTATCTGCTTTTGTATGTAAGCTGCTTCCGGTTCCAGTGTATCCACAGAGGTGCAATAATCAGACCAGCCATATAGCCAAAGGTAGCTCCGAGGGAACAGGAGATGGGCCATACCTGAGGGGAGAACACAAGGCAAAAGCAGACCATGAGGAAAAGGTCTGTGGTTTTTGTACTTCATGAGCACAAAGTCTAGGTACTGAGAGACAGTAGTCTTATTCTACTTTAAAGCTTGATGTGCTTTCCTAAAAATGCCAAAAGCGTAACAATCATCTTCATGAACACTAAATGCTGTTGTACAGTTTTTAATTAATATGCATTAAAATGTAAGCAGGCTTCTGGCTATTGCAGACTTTAGTTTGATAGTCCAAAAGCTATGTGGAAAAAACCACCCCTTAGAACTATTTATATCCCCAGAAGCATTCAGCTGACCTGACTTCCTACTCTGCTGTACACATTTGGGTACCTACGGATTTCTCAGCAACTTCTCCTTTCAATCTCTCATGGTGTTTTGAAACTTTCAGGTGTGTATAAAGGAATTAGGATTCAAATAAGGCCAGAGACTGAGATAGATAGAGGTTTGTTGGCTTTTTTTCTTGAAAAGTATATGAAAGGATAAATTTCCCTCTGGCTAGCAGTAGGGAAGGAACACAAATTTGGAAGCTGACTGAACATGTTGCACCCAGATCATCAAACTTGTAGTAAGCCAGTTATGTCAAAGAGAGCTTTAATTATATGCTCTATTTTCAACTATAAGAAAAGGAAGCCAACTCAATAGGTCTGACTCACTTTACCAAACTATCTTGTACTGACCCAGAGTAGTAACAGAATTCTTCCCTGCTCTATTTTTTTTTAATAATTGGTATTGATTTGCAGGGAGAAATGGCCAAACCAAGACTTAACCAGTTTGTTATCAGATGTAGCTTATAGTACCAGTCCACTACAGACTGCATTTGATGAAAGTCTCAATTAGGGCAGTAATGAATTTATTTATTTTCGAATAAACGAAATTCCCAGGCCTCTTTAAAATTCTCCTTTGCTTTTCTGGTTTTTTTTTTTTTTTTTGCAAGGACAGGTTTGTAGTTCCTGCTCTACAGAGCATATTCTTAAAGCAAGTATGGACTGGACTCTCCTATTCTTTTGTTTTTTAAATTAAGGGGGATATTTCCCCCTTCCCATTGTACTTGAGACTGAGAAATGCACTAGACAATACAAGAAATATCCCAATCTCCAGCCTTCTTTTCTACTTCACTTTGACTTGCAATTCATGAATATCAAATGAACTTACTCTTAATGGTACTGGTTCCTCCTTTCATTCATTTTCCTAGCTCTGATTCTTCTCTTTACTTCATTATCACTTAAAAGAATATATTTATTCACATCCTTTGATCATGGGAATTTTAACTACAAAAAAGAATAATGTATTTTGTCCTCTGCTCTTTCATCTTCAATCTCCTCAGTTGTTTCATCTTCACATTCCTTAGCATTTACAGCTTTTATTTGTTATTTGGAGGTCTTAAGGAGTGTAGCAAAGATGATTACTAAACAAGGTGCCTTAGGTACTCTTTATTGACCTTGTTTCATTCTTACACTTTCATACATTCTGTCTCTGCTGCTTTTGTTGCTGAGTATTTCAGCAGTTGCCTCTCAAGCCAAAGATTTGCTTGTTTTCATTCATTTACTGTGTATAGTAGATCATCTATAAAAAGCCTTGAGAGGCTTTGGCGTGGTAAGTACTACATGCATTTGAAACTCACATAAGTTTGTGGCCTTGGCTAAACTTACACTTCAGGTGGATCTTTTCAACTTTTAAACAAAATGTAATTATTTCTAGCATTTTGCATATTACACTTGTCCAAAGGACAAAACAATAAAAAAGTCTCTGAAATCCTTCTGCTCACTCAGTACTGTTCAGATGGAACACAAGTCATACTTTTTTATCCACTGATGAAGTCAAATACCACTCCAATATCCACAAAACTATGGACAAAGGCTTCTTAACTCGGTGGTGCTTTTACATCAGATTTGCTGAGTGATCAATGATCAATCCTTCATCAAATTTTTACCTACATTAGGTGAATTTGTAGTTGCCTATTTGCTTTCCAGGACTATAAGTAGATGATGGACTCTGAATTGATCATATTCCCCTAATTAGAGAGCAAATATCCCTGATGACCCAATGACCCTGTATATTGTGCTATTTTGTGTATAGTGGGTGATTATGGTATGATTAAATACATATCTGATGATTGTTGTAGCCTCTTTCACCTGACTGAACTGCAACTTGGGACATGTTTTTTCAATAGCTGTGTAACTTTTAATACCAATTATGCCTCTGTCTGTCTTCTAAAACATTCAATTTTTGCTTTGGTTTTTAAAAGTCAGTGTTACCTTACAAAGTTTCAAGCTCTCTCTCTTAACAGTTGAATCTCTGACCTCGGAACACTCACAAATGGCAGGTGGAAAAGATAGGGAACAAAGGGAAGAAAACATAAAACATGCCATCTCCCCATCTATGAATAAGACAGAAAGAGACACCACCTCATCCCTTCTAGTGGCATGGAACAGAGGGGTACTAGGCCAGGCACTTATTCTTACAGTGCTGCTTGGACAGCCCAAAGTAGTTCTGAGGGCAGTTTGGCCTTTTGAAAACTCCCTAAGCACAGCAGTTAAAAGCCTGGACTTAAGAGTGTTGCTGTCCTTCTGCCATTTTCTCTAACCCTCAAGACCTGGCAAAACCCCCTAACAAACAGGTAATAATAATAAAGGTACCACTTTTGCACCTTTTGTTCTTAACTGATGGCTTTTAGGCTACATATAGCCTGAGGCACCCATGGGTATATCTAAAGCAGCAAGTTATCAAAGACAGATTAAGATATGGTTCTTAAGCACAGCAGCTGCACTAAAATAACACCACTTTCACATGATTTTGGCAGTCTACAAAAATGGGTTGTTTCTTTCTGTGGAAGTGGGTTGCTTTATTTTGTATTAGCTGCTGGCCTCATTTTTCTGAGACCCAATCACTTTCTTCTGGACCTTTTAAAATGACTTTGACTTACTCCATTGGCCTGCTTTTGCCCCCTCTTTCATATTATCTCAAACTTGTCCTAAAATCCTTGACTTGGCATGAACTGCCTGTAAGTGATAAAAATCTAAGCAACAAGTATCTGTCTGCCTGTTCCTAGAGATTGCTTGCTTAAAATATGAGACTTGTAATACGCCCCTCTCATCCCCTGAGAACTTCCCAGCTCAGTTCCTCCTACATCATGCTCCCTTCTGCCTTGAGGAAGCTGACATATCCTGCCCCAGTACTGATGTCATGTCTGGGCTGGGTCAGCAGCAGGGGAGTAAGATGTTAGGCCACATGGCCTAGCTACACTTTTGCTGAGGGGAAAAAAGGCTGATAAGGAGAGACAAGTGTGGGGAGTGCAGGAGATAGAATAGAACATTTTTCATGAAACTGTCATGAAATGCCTTATCTGTCTCAGCAGCTGAGAAGCATCAGCTACCATTTTCACAGCCTAACACAAGAAGAATCAGTTTTTTACATATCAAATGCATGGTGAAAAGGGCAATTTTAACAACCTGTAGACGATTACTAGGAACCTGAACAGCAGCTTGGCAAAAACAAATCTTACCAAGAACAAAAAATGCATTTTAATGGGCAGAGCATGAGGCAGTGTTTAATGCAAAGCAATTCTGACTTCTGCTATTCGTTTAAATTCTCTTTTTGCCTTTTCATCAGGCAGCAGGGTTAGGACTTCACAGGAATTTCTTCAAGCTAGCTTAATAGACCTGCAGAACTGCAAGGGGGGTTTTTAGTGTATATTAGAACTCATTTTAAGAATAATGACTCAAAATAGGAATTGCCAACCTTTCAGGACACAAATGAGCTAGTTTCCTCAGTGCTCTTTAGAACAGCTAAGATTCTATGATGTGAGAATGCTTAGCACACTGCATGGAAAGCAGAGCATGTTGCAGGACCCCAGCAAGGTAGCCAGCTCTGCTGGACTGTGCATGCAGCTGGCTAAACCAGAATTCTGACTGCATGGCAGTCTTGTCATCCATTACGAGTCTTGCATCCCATGCAAGGGAATTACATAGACATTGATAAGGACACAAGGGCCAGAAGCTTATAGACCACAGGAGCAACACAAAGTTTTTAAAGATATTATGAAGTAAGCAGCTGCCTGCTGGAACTTTGGTTATACAAATGCAAATACAGTGGGGCAATCTACTGTATTTACTCTTCAGTAAACTTAAGAGTGTTTTTCTCATATTCCTAAACACGATTTTTTGTATGCTTACTGTTTCAAAAAACTAATTTCTGACTGTCAATTAGAAGGCTATGTAATAATTTTTGTTTCATTTTAAAACTGAATAAATGAGCACAATTATTTTCCCTTCCTGTTTCTAACATGCCTTAAATTCCTGATTGTTTAGTCTGTACTGTCTCAAAAATTTCAGTACATGCCTTTAATCTATTTTGGTTGCATGCACATGTTAACTATAAGTGTCTTATCACATTGTACAGAATGTGTGTGTTGACAAGCACACACCAAGAAGAAAGTGTGAGGCTTTTTTCAGGCTGGCATTTGTAACTAGAAGTTGATTTCATGGATTTGTGCTCTAAAGTTATAGCAAGCATAACAGCCTTTGATCTCACCATTAAGGTTTACATTGAGAAAACACATTATTAAATAAACAACGATAACCACACTAAAGTGGAACAAGCTTCTACTTCTGTTTAAAACAACTCCAATTGTGCATGATCCCTTGTTCTCATATTAAGCAACTTCTCTTATAAAAAAACTTTCATAGTAGGAAGTAAATGCAAAAAGGAATACAAGAAGGAAACTCTCTGAGTTAAGAAGAACCAAAGTAGAGTGAAAGTTTAAAGTCCCATTTCAGCTTACTTGAGTAAGCACCAAGAACTGTATGCAAGATTCTCAGGATTATTTTTCAGGGTACAAATGTCTGAGAGCTATCTAAGGCTAATATTTACAGTCATATTGGCTAAATTACATGGCAGTCAGTCAACTCAGGTGAGCTATATCAGCACTACCTATTATGCTTGCAGTATCCACTATGAAGTAGGAATATAGCAATTTTACTTC